GAGGGCGCCGCGCATATGTGATCCTTCGGGCGCGCGACGACTGTCGCTCGAGCCACGTTCCTTTTCGCCCGCGGTGTTCAACCCGTTTAGCCAATCCGCACAGCCCGCATCACACGCAGCGCTACGAGAACCATCTGGCGATTGATTTCGGATATGGGCGACACAGCTAGCATGTGAACAATGTTGCGGGCTGCTCCATCCTCCTCAACAACATATTCAAAGAGAAACACACCGAAAACATCGCATCCACCAGAACACCAAAGACGAGGCGGAGTCATCACAATCGAGCAGGGTGCCACCAAGCTGAAAATCATCACGGCCGACTCGCCTCCAGCACCATAGGACCGACGGACAATTCCTCAGTGGCGAGTCGCCACGGCGAGGATGGCTCAATGGGTGAATATTGAGCTCTTAGCCACACCATCACGGGTCACCCCCATCGTGATGATGGACTTTAACGACCGCTTCGCCCACGGCCCCGATGGCGACGAGACGGTAGGCCCCTACTCCACGGGCAAGGAAGGCGAAACAGGCAAGCTCTACCACCACAACTTCGTGACCACGCACATGGCCGCCGCCAACACGCACTACGACACGGGCTCCAGTTACGACGGACGCCATCCTTCAGTAGTCACTGACGACATCTGCATCCACACGATCTTAGTCTCCCGCATCTTGCAGTGCCGCGTCTGGAACCACGCCGCCCACGCTTTGCAGATCTTCAGGCGACTCAAGGACTACAAGCCGTTGATCCTCAAGCTTGAGGCACCACCCACCTGCCACACGGAGGGGAAGGCATACCAGACCTTGGACCGCGACGCCTCCGCGTTGGGCCTTAAGGAGGGTTACAAGCACGTCGAGTTCCTGGACAGCCTGGAGAGCCAGCTGACCACCCGCGGCGACTTGCTGGACGAGTACCTTCAGCGCGACGACGGCACGTACCATTGGGGCCTCACCATGCCGTGTTTCCGCGACGCTGCCCTCGAGCATTTCTCAGCCACAGCGCGACGACCCGAATGGCGCCGAGAAGCACTTGAGGAGAAATTGCAGCTACTTTGGCAAACGAGCGCAACTACGGCAACAGCTACACGTCCAGGAAGTTCACAACGCCCACGAAGAGACGCTCCAGGCGCTGGACCAGACCATGTGCGACCTCAGCAAACGACTACGCCGCCACATGAAGGGCACGAGCCACAAGCACCATGAGAAGCAGCGCGACGACCAATGGCTGGCGCGGAGAGAGCGACGACTTGCCGAATGACACAGCGTCACCGAGACCATGCTCCGACATGAGCTTCGAGCCCGCATGCGCCTCTACGGCAGTCCCCCGAGCTCCCCCGAGCTGGACCAGCGGCAGCAATTCCTACAACGCCCAGGCGCCGAAGGAGGACTACTTGCAGTGCCGGCCCCAGCTGTGCTCCCGACACGAGACGACCTCGTGCCGCCGCGCCCGACGCCATTCGGCACTTCTCCGACGCTGACGATGACGCCGACGACATTACATCAGACGCCAGCACCACACCGCCACGACCACAACGACACAGCACCACCACGCCCGACGACGCCGCCCACCACCCTGCAGCCGACGACGACAACTACGCCCGCAGCATCGACACCAGCCACCCACCTCCCAACAGCATTCCACGACGCCATGGACTACCAGGAAGCCGATTTCGACGCGATGTTAGAGCAGGAGGCCGAGGGCGACTACGTTCACGAGTCGCGGCCCGAGGACTACCCGCCGGCACCAACCGCGCCGCCGCCGGCTGCATCTCGAGAGGCCCGTGCCAACCGCCCACACCAAGTCTCGAGCGCGCCGCGCGGGCTTCAGCTGAATTTCGCAATCGAAGCGCCAGCGGAACTTGCCGCTGTCGCCGAGCCCCTGGAAGGAAATGCGCCTCGCCGCGTTCGGTCCCAGCAGAAGTATAACTGATGGCACTCCGACCCGAGATCCTCAGACGCCCAGGGCGACCGCGGAGAGGCCCTGGGGCGATCGACGCCCCTGACGGCGAGGGGAATTCTTCCAAACGGAAGCGCCAGCTACCGCGGGAATATCGATTGGGGCGACCACCTTCACTCGCATGATTCGCCCACGCCCGCCAACGCGATCGTGCGCCGAAGCAGTCGAACGCCTCCCAGAGCTCCCAGCAGGACAAAGGCAAGATGCTCATCGGCCCAGCGGGCTTGCGCTTGATCCACTGCTTCGACATGTTCTGGCGCTTTTTCTGCCGACGCCCACGAGAACGAGGATTTCCTGTCCGACAGCCTGCTTGCGCGCGCGGAGGCATCCCGCGTCGACGACGCGAATTCGGTGTTCGCGTCACTAGAGCGGTTGCCAGTGAGCTCCGACGCGCGAAGATCGCCTTCGCAGCTCGCTCCCTCGACGGCCGCAACGCGTTTGGATGCGCTTGCCACGGCGCCATCGACAAGCGCGTCATCTCCACCTTACGCGACGGCGACCGCCAACTGATACTAGGACGACGCACCGTGTCCCGGACGATAGTCGACGCGAGCGACGGCACCCTGGTCACGAAGAACCGCGAAGGAGGACTCATGGGCCATCATGGGCGGCCCCGACGAACCCGACGCCATCATGAAGATCTACAACCGCAGCCTGGAAGCCCTGGCGGCCCGACGCCGCGGACATCAACGCCTGCGTGATGTGCCAGTCGTGCGCGCCGACTTGGGGCCCCGACGGACACGCCCAGGACCTCGGCCGCCAAGTCTTCGCCGACGACGCCCTGGAGTTCCGCGCCGCGCCGAGCGATGGGGCCACGAAAGCAGGCCTTCGACTCCGTCGGCCAGCTTCCTGGCGCCAGCGCCGACGAGGCCCGCGCCCTGGCCGCCGCCATCGAAAGGGACTTGGACTCGCTTCGCCAAGCACTACGAACAGATTACGCTCACGAGCGAACGCATCATATGTAGTACGACTTGTCCGACCAAGGGGGGTCGCAGCGCCGCGTCGCATCAGCGCGGAGCGCGCGCTCGCGCATGCTAGGCCAGACCTGGGGCCCGCGCCTGCTCACCGGACGACCCTGGCATGTCCGATCTGCCAGGGGTCCAGCGAAGAGCGCAGCGCGCTTCGCAGCCATCTCCGCGGTCATTTACCTCAAGAAGCACCAGCAGCACTCACGCTTTCGCCACCGCCACGCCCGACAGAAGTACCCGCTCGGGGTGTCAGCAGCGGCGTCAGCACTGCCGCCGGCAGCAACCGCGCCCCGACCGAGCTGGCGCGCCCCGAGGGCCCCCCCACACGTCTGGCAGCGGCGGCTACAGCGGCAGGCCCACGAAGGGCGACAGGTCCAGGAGCCAGGCACGAGGAGGCGGACGCCACAAGAAGGATTCCCAGGAGTACGTGGAGCACGACGACGCGAAGCCAGATCCCAAGAAGGCGCCCAGGACCCCGAGCGACACGAGGGACCTGATCCTCGTCATCCCGCGAGCGACCTGCCAGAACACCTAGCAGATCCGCGAGCCCAAGGGGGGTATCATCACGGCGGTGAACGTCAGCGACGCAGATCCGTTGGTCGAGGCGATCGAGACGGAGAAGCGCAATTATGCGCGAATCATCCGCCAAGAAGGAGAATCGCGCGGAAGAGGCCCGCCTGCACCTGGCGCCGCGATGGCCATGATGGAAGGCCTGGCACAGCAAGACATCGGCGCGAAGAGCAAGGGCGACCTCGCCGCGGCGATAGAGCGGACCAACGCGATTGACCAGTACCAGCGCAGGACATCTGCCCGATCTGCAAGCTCGAGAAGGCGTGCATGAGCGGCCAGGCGAAGATCTGGTTCAATTGCAGGGTCTACGAGGTCAGACAGCGCATCATGGGCGCGCTCCACATCGCTCAGAAGACCGCCTGCGTGGGTCCAGCGCCAGCGGGATTCCCGATGTGGATGGACGCGCTGATCGACGAACCCTAGACAGGACACGCCACGCCCCCCGCGACGCCCCCTTGCTGGACCGTGGGGGGCCATGGAGGTGCTGGCAGGGAGGCGTTGCCCCTCGCCGCGACGCCTCCCTCGCGTTTGCCCGTGGGGGGCCGTGCAGGTGCTAGCGGAGAGGGGCTTAGACAGATGGGAATGCGGTTTTCTACAGATGCAGACCTCAGCATCGACGGTGAGTCCGTGAGACGTCTGAAGGCCACATCAGCACAGACGGGGATCCACGCACTGGCCACACCCTTGCCTACGCCCACACCGACGCCTTCACCGACGCCTAACGCCAGCACCACATAGCAGACCATGAGGCGGCGCCGACGGCCAGCATCAGTAGTGGTCATCGCGAGGCTCACGACGCTCTGCGCTCCGCCACGCCTTTCCTTTTCCCTGGGCTCGCTCGCGAGGGGCGCGAGGAGCCCGACTGATGGCCAGATCCTGCTCGAGGACGGCTCAAGAGGAACGGAGGCCACCCCCACTCGTCTTCCTCATGCCCTCCCCCCTGGAGCTCTGCGCTTGCCCCCATGCCGTCCAATCCTCCTCCCCCTAGGGGTGGGCGCCACCCCTGCGCGCGGCCCGAGGGCGAGGCCGAGGTCGAGGCAACGGGAAAGGCTGTGGAGCCCGCGGCCCGAGGTAGTGAGCTGGGTTGTGGGCGTGTCGTTTTCCTTTTCGCCGAGCCGCTCACAACCACGTGAGCGACGCCCGTGAAAAAAAAAAACCCAAGTGGGCGAGCACCATCTAATTAGGTCCCAACAATTGTTTCATTAGTTTTTGATTCTCGGAACTTTGGGCATTTTGGTGTTGTGAATGATATATATATATATATATAGAGAGAGAGAGAGACATAAACAAAAGAGAAAGAAAGAGAGAGAGAGAGAGTGAGGAAAAAAAAAGAGAAAGAGAGGGAAAGAAAAAGGGGGGCCGGCGCCGATCCAGGCAACTAGCGCGGAACTCCAACAGTTTGTTTGCTTTGCGTGTGCAGCTGTTCGTTCCTCCACACACTCCCGACGCTTCGCCTCCCGCCCGCCGCCCGCTGCCCGAGCACGGCGCGCCCGGCCCCGTGCCCGCGCCGCGCGCGACCCGCCGCCGGCCCCGCCGGCTCGCCCCCCCCGCCCGCGCCGGCTGGGCGCAGGCCCGGCGGGGTAGCCCGCAGCGGCCCCGCAGCCAAAATTCCAAAGAACGCCGGAGATCGGCGGCGCTCGTGGGCGAAGCCTGCCTGCTGCTCGGGGCGGAGGCTTTCTCCGAAGGGCTTAGGCGACCCCTCCTCCTCCTCCCCGTCCTCCTCCTCCTCCTCCTCCTCCTCCTCCCTCCTCCTCCTCCTCCTCCTCCTCCTCCCCGTCCTCCTCCTCCTCCTCCCTCCCTCCTCCTCTCCTCCTCCTCCTCCTCCTCCTCCTCCTCCTCCTCCTCCTCCTTCTCCAATTCCTCCATCTCCTCGTCCTCGTCCTCGTCCTCCTCCTCCTCGGGTCGCCTACAGCCCCGGGGGAAACCGTGCACTCTGGGATCGAAGGGGGTCGTTTTCTTATTCGTTGTCTTGTCGATCGGCGCGGGCACTCTCCCCCCCGACCCCGCCCCCCCCCATGGAGTAGATCTTGGCTGTTTCTGGCGCAAGTTTCGAGCAGGTGGAGCCTTCCCATAGGACGCGTTGTTGCAAACAGTCGCGCTAAGCAGAGGCCCGGATGATCCCTCCCCTCTCTCCCTTTTCCGCCCAATGTCGAAACGCCGAATAATAAAGGGCTCCCAGGTGCTCGCATGAGGCGTTCAAGAGAGGGCCTCGCCGTCGAGGATCGAAGGAGTTGTCCTCTCTGCCTCGGCGGAAGGTCGGCGGAAGCTGGCGAAAGTAAAACGAGGCCGCCTCCGCGGAAGGAAAGATCGGCCTCCCAAGCGATGGCAACCTTTCAGGGTTTCCGGAACCCGCCACATGCTCTGAACAGCCTGCCCGATGCCTCCCTCGAAGCAGGGCCGGCTAATTACCGCAGGCTGTGGAACGACAGGGCAGCGAGCCAGCGCAGGACCACCGGCGCCACAATCGGCGACGTAGCGCGCACCCAACTCGGGCGAAACATCTGTTCGTATCCGCGGCCTCGCGGGCCAGGCCCCGGGGCCGCGACCCCGCGGATATACGGAGCGCATTCACGGCTTCCTCGCGCGGGACATATCCGTGCGGCCGCGCATCCGCGGGATCTGATGGGCCGAGTTCCCACCTTCACTAACATAGGAGGTATGAGAGGGAGGAGGAGGAGGAGGAGGAGGAGGAGGAGGAGGAGGAGGAGGAGGAGGAGGAGAGGAGGAGGAGGAGGAGGAGGAGGAGGAGGAGGAGGAGGAGGACTTCCCCATCCTCCCTTCTCCCCCATCCGTGGTGGGAACGTGGCCCGTCAGGATCGTGCCCCGGCATCCAGACCACGAGGCGCGGACAGATGGAAACGTTCTCCGTTTGTGAGGTGCGCGCCGAGGGGGGGGATTCTCAGAGGGGGGCCCGGCCTTCTCAGAGAGCGCGGCGGGGGTTTCTCTCGGAGGCCCTCCAGCCTCCCGAGAAGCACCCTGTGGCTTCTGATGGGCCGATTTTCCAGCACCACTACCATAGGTAGGAGAGGGAGGAGGAGGAGGAGGAGGAGGAGGAGGAAGAGGAGGAGGAGGAGGAGGAGGAGGAGGACCTCCCCATCCTCTCTTCTCCCCCGTCCTACCCATCATAGTGGTGCTGGAAAATTGGCCCATCAGCTTTGGAGACGGCTCAGGAAGCGTCTGAGAAGGCCCGCCCCCTCTATACCTCTCCCCTGCGCTCGCCGTCGAGAAGAGGAGAAGAGGGTGGGTGAGAACTGAGGTCTATTGGTAAGTCGGGCCTGTCCCTCTACAGGGGGAAAATTCAAAAATAGTCAAAAAATATTATGGGGACGATTTTTTGACTAATGTTTGGCATTTTTAGAGTGCCTCTTTGGTATTTCAAATTTTCGTCCACAGCCCGCCTGCACGGGGACACGCCCGACCTAAGTCTATTGAGGGGGCCAGGGGGACCCTTTCTCCCCCCTCCCTGGCCCCCCTTCCCCGGTCCACCCCTGCCTCCACTCCCATCCCCTGCTTGTGCGCGCCGCTCGTCTTCGTCTGTCGTCCTTCGTTCGCGCGTCGGTCGCGGATCGCCTCTTTCGGCTCTCGGTTCCCAAGAAGGTGTGCCAGCAGGTCAGGCCGCCTATTCGGTAGCAAATCGCTGGGACCTGGTATACGCTCCTAAATCCGTATTTAGCGTCGACTAGCGTCGATTAGCGTTGGGGAGTCGATTCGATAGCGCCGATTTAGAGTCGGTTAGCGTCGATTAGCGTCGATGTGTGTCAATTCGCCAGAGCCAACAAAATGGTATGGGAGGCTCCCATGAGTTTCCACAGAACGCCTATCATGTCCAAGCCAGGTATTTAGAGTTCTGGCAGTGTATCCGCAGCGCTGCACTGGCAGTGCAGCTGCGGGCTTTGCCAATGCTTCCACGGTGCTGCCGTGAGGGCCTCCCTCCTCCTCCTCCTCCTCATCCTCCTCATCCTCCTCTTACTATCCCTCCCAGCTTCCTCGTCCCACAAACTTTCTATACGTCGTCCTGGTACCAGCAGCAACAATGACGGCGTCGTACTGTTGCCGCCATGCAGGCCACATGCACGAATCCCACGAGAGACGACAGCGATTCTCAACTCCAACGGCCACGCCGGCTAAGTGTTGTGAGGCAATATGACATTCTCGTTCCTCTTTTCGTGCATCGCCTGGGGCGCGCCGTGAGCGCTCGGCAAAAGCATCGAAGCCCAATTGCCCACGCATGAGGTCTCCTCGCAGAGGCCAGAGTGGGTGGCCTGCATGCGATGCGTTTGCTGGGCCTCCCTCCAGGGTCCACTTTGATCCGATCGAACCGATCCGATGTCGGTTTGGGCCCGCCTGATCCAGTTCGATTCCGATGCGATGCGCCGACGATCCGATGCGGTCCGAGGTCTGCATGGCGATGTTGTGTATCTTGGCGCAGCCGATCCGATTCGATCTCGACTCCGTGCCGATGCGGCCCTTTCCGATGCACATTTCGATTATTATAGGTTTCGTAATATGCGTGGGGGGTACCCCCCCGACGGGGAGATAAGGTGTTATTGTGGCCAGTTGGTTCTTAGTGCGGCCCGGTGGGTGTTAGTATGGCCAGGGTTCCTCCGGAGGGTATTTATCAACGAGTACGGTGAAGGAGGGGTGGGTCTCCAAAGAGCTTCCTCCCCCCCCCCTTTCACCGAAGAGCCTCTCGCAAGAGCCTGTGGGATTCTCCAAAGAGCCTCCTGGGCTCTCCACAATTCATCGTGCTCCTCGGCAGTCCTCCCCACTCCTCGAAACTCCCTCCATGTCGCTTTTCGGTGCAGCCAAGTCTCCGTTTTGAGCCTACGTGTTGGGCCCCGTTCTGTGTGGTGTGTTGCGTATCGGGGCAGCTAAGCCCAAGAGTCCACGAAAGCGTCCCCCAGAGGTCTCCAAGGAGCCCTCCAGAGGCCTCCAAGGAGCCATCCAGAGCCTCCCATTCCCCCGCACTCCATCGCACTCCTCGGCACTCCTCCGCACTTCACTCCATTGCTCGCCCCTCTCCACACTCCTCCCCACTCCTATGTACTTGTCCGCACTTCACTGTACTCCTCGGCATCCCTCCCCACTCCTCGAACCTCCCTCGATTTTGCTTTTCGGCGTTACTCCCCACTCCTCTGGAGTCCTCCCCACTCCATCGCACTACTCAGGAAAAACCCGGGGCACCGCCAGCAGAAGCCCGCGCTGGGAGTCCGAGAGGACTGCCTTGGCGGGACCTGCCGCCGCACGCTAGTCACTGGAACATCCCCGGCTCCCTGATGTCCGAGCGTCCCGCAGTCCGTTCCGCGGCCGTCGCCAGAGGGCCCGACGACGACGCCCGCGAGGGTTGCACCGACGACGCCCGGGCCCGGCGGGCGCGCGTCGCCGCGACGCCCTGCTCGCGCCAGGCCCGCCCGCTCCTCGCCGGATCCGGCCGCGGAGTATTCGAATGGCCCAGGTCACCATGCAGGTCTACCATTCAGCTCGGGCGCGCGGTCCGTCGCAGTCTTCGCAGATGGTCGAGTCTCTCCGGCGCTGCCGCGCGCTCCGCGGCTGGGCGCCCCGCTCGCATCTTCGTTGGCAGCCGCGCTGTCGCTGATTGATCCGAGCAATTCCTCGGCGGCAGACCACCGCGACGCGTGGGTGCCCAGGCCGGCCTTTGGCAGAGCATTCGCCGCCTCCTCCAGGTCAAACCAGACATGTTCGATGTCCAGAGGATAGAACATTGCTTCGGCGCCCACCGATTGCGGAGGCTGTCAGCCGCCGCGCGCGTGAACTTCCGACGCCCGGGGCACGCCCGCGCACCACGGGGCCCCATCGACGCCGCTAAATGGCGAGATAGGTTCGCGGCCGCCCGTCACGGCGCAGCTGCAGCCATCCACGACCGGCGTCGCCAGGCGTCTCCCATGCCAGACAAAGGAGCGGGCTACCCAAGGGCGGATTTCAGCGAGTTGAAGCCCAGACCTCGCACCACTGGCCAAGGCGGCCATGAGCCACCAGGCTCGCATGGCGGGGCGGCCCGCTTACCCTGACGGCGCTCCAGTGCCGGACTACTTCGATCATCTCGACCATCCATGGGCGGGCATGCTTGACGACTTCGACTGCGAGGGACAAGACCTGCTGGGGCTTGGCGCCTCCCTCAACGAAGACGAAGGCAACGATGCCGGCCCCGAAGTCTCAGCAGAGACAGTCACAGCGATCGCGGTGACCACCGCGACGCGAGCCGCCCGAGACTCTGACGGCCAGCAGCCAGCCGCCTGCGGTCGACAGGACCAGGCCGCAACCGCCAGCACCTCGCACCATTGGGCCAGCTCCTCTTCCCCCCGCCAGGGTACGAGGAGCAGCGACCAGCCGGTGACCGCCGTCGGCGCAGGGCTCGGTGCGACGGGGACCCAGCGAACAGACCGTAGGCAACCCCCACGCAGCACCTCTCAGCGGCCAGTCGGCCCCAGAGGATGACCGCGAAACGGCCCTCATCGCTAGAATCAGCGCGCTCCGTCAGCGGGCCAACCACCTTGCCCACTCTCCTCAGCAAATCCAGGAACAGACAGCTCCTCTGTTCAACAGGTTCCA